CAGGAAATTCCAGATTGAACTTGTTTGCCTGAAAAGGATTCTTGTTGGAGAGTATGTGTTTTTTCTGAAAACAAGAACTAATGCTTCTAGTGCAAAGGTTAATTTTGAATTCAAAGGATCCCCTTGTCTTAATAAAGGGACAAAAAAAGTCTGTTATTAATGTCAGACCTAGCACAGGACTGAAGCTTTTCTTTTAGCTTTAGGGAGATGAGGCAAGTGACTTACAACTGTCCTTATACTATTTTTTGCTTACCTGAAAAGAATGTTTGGACCATTATCAAAATGTGTAGCTCTTACAACACTTCTGATCTGCAGACCTGCAGGAGTTTGAATCAATGGACACTTAACACAGGACTGTCACATAAAATGGTTTGCCCCAGTCATCAAGTAGAAAGATAACTCAGTAATTGCCATATAAGTTCAGTGCTCTGTCTACCATACCATATTTAGGTGTTAATTCAAGTAAAACTATATCTACATTAGCCCTACTCTGCATGACAGTTAATCAGAAGATCTTCAGAGGCCTCTTCCAACCTGTATTATTTATTCTATGATTTTTATGATACAGCTCATTTGCTCTTCCCTGAGAATTTTACCAAATTTCAGACTTCTGGATTTGATTTGAGTCAAGAGCCACTTCAATGCTTATAATACTTTAAAATAACTTCCTTGCATTAGCTGAAAACAAATCTTGACCAGTGGAACACTGCAATGAAATTAGGCACGTTGCATGGTGTATTACAGCAGCAGTTGAATACTGCAGTGGCTAAGTGACTCCCTTTAAAGCCACATGTGATGCATGAGAGACCTGCTGCACTTTCTAATGAGATACTGGGCCTGGCAAAGCAAGCCAGGCCCTGCCCTCCATTCTGAAGAGTAACAAACTACAATTGGTTCACTAGTAACCGAATAAGTAACTGCAAATCATTAGCTTATTCGTAAGTGTATGTGCTTCTGGACAAAGAACCCACCATGCATTATTTGATTTTCATCTAGTGCAAAGCCAAGGCCATTTAGGAATACGTAATGGAATAGTGAAGACTAAAAGTAAATGAAATACCAAGCCATTTATATAAAAAATATAAATACTTTATTTTCAACTAAAAAGGTGCAAACATGTAACTTTTGGTCACACTTCTCAACAAATAAACTGTCCAAAAAGAGCCATAGTCAAAGAAAGAAACAAATGCTCGAGTGGAAAGACTGATAAGCTACAGAAGAGCCATTTTTCTTAAAGCCACTTGTCCAATAAAGTGTAAGTAAACGTATTTTGCCAGATGAATGCTTCGTAACAATACAGGCACCTCAACTCAAACAACCTCCATCTTGACCTCAACTCACCATTTGGCCCTACCTGAACAATTTCCACTAGAGTATCTATTTCATGCTTTGAATGCATTGTCAAACAAGCTTTAAATCTTACCTATCTTGTTCAAAAAAAGAAGGCTATCATTGAACTTCCAAAGCATTAAACAAAAGCACAAAACTTTAAATTAATTTAGATAACTGTACAAATATATATACACACAGTATTTACAATATTAATAAAAAGTAGCTTGTTACAGGTAAATTAACTGCCACAAGCTGTCCAGTCTAATAGACATGATTCTGATTCTTGTTGACCAAGCCATGCGAATCAGAGCGTCAGAGCTGAAACATTACTGTCCTGACTAACAGAACACCTTCTACTTAGCACTTTGCTGGGTGTTTGCATTCCAGCTGATGCTGTCACTAAACCAGTGCCAGCAAACATGCTAACAGTCTCCTTCTCAATTGCACTACTAGATGAAGCACACTGTACCACGTTAAGGGAACGTTTCCTTGGATCTGCTTTTCCTGCCTATTTTCCTTAACCCCATCACACCACCTCACAAACAACGTGTTCTGAAGCTGTGTCTTGTTGTGGTCCCACTGTCCATTTTACCACCTTCTTCAAACCAGCACTTGGGGTCAGTAGAAAAATTGTCTTAAGTCACATGGAGCAGTTTGTTGAAATTTTTTAAAAAAACCTGATTTAAATACCTTGTGCTATTGAATCATGTTTACAAAATGAGATGCAAATCAGTTCAAGTTGAGAATCTAGTCAGAGTCTCCTTCTGGCTTTATGCCATGTCTCCATACATCTTTCTGTAGTACAGAGACTCAAAGATGTCATTGTCTCCAGGGCAGTTGTAGTGGCACGCGCAGGTCTTGATGAACATCATTTTCCTTTTCATGATCTCCCCATCAGGGCACTTGAACTCCACGGGGAGGGTGGACGTTCTGTGGGGTGTGCAGCAGCGCCCATCAGTGCAGACACCACAGAACTTAGCTCTGTAGGTCTTCACACTGGTGCAGCCAGACAGCTCAAACTTGACAGGCTTGGAGATTTTGGGGGTGCGAATGCACTTTTTGCCTTTCTGTTAGGATATAAGTGAATACAAGATGTTTAGAGGGCAGGCTTTTACACAGCATGAAGCTTGCAAGTTCAAATCAAAGGTGAGCAGACATGCTAATCCTTACTATATTATTATTAAGCAAGACTGTCTTACAGTGTCACAAAACAGCATGAGAGAAAAATCAAGGACATTTAATTGTAAACTGTTCACCACTAGGGTAAACTGCAACTGTTCACCACTCAAATTTCAAGGTAAACCACTTGAAACTGACTGGCTGTCAGAACTGCACTTTTGGTCACTGGCTTTTCTTCTAGTGAATGGAAGCATCTTAGTAGATCATTCATGAAGATAATCCTATTTACCTTGATGTTCTCCTCCAGGTCTGCTTCACAAGGTCTGACCATGCAGAGCCTACTCTGTTTCTCCAGTCTGCAGAAGGCATTATCATTGGTGACCCTGGTAGAGATGCCCATGCCGCAGGTCTTGGAGCAAGCACTCCATTCCGTGGTCTGCACCAGGCAGTTGGCACGCATCATCGTGGGGTCCGGACCGTAAGTGTCTTCCAGTCTGTAAGCTGCAGGACACAGATAACAAAAATGAGACCACTGCCTGACTTCATGCCTTGCTAAAGGCTCCTATCTTTTCCCGAAAAATTCGAGCAGCCACGCTTATCCGTGCGGTGACTCCACTACTGCGGCCCCCCAGCTGCTGGCACGGGGTGTCAACCCACCTCACTGCCTTCCACCTCC